ACAGTCGGTCAGGAACTATCTTGAAAACTGCTTTTATTACTGTGAAACTTTAGGCAAAAGATTCGAGTGTGTGAGTTTATGGGCCTTATTTTAACTGAATTAGAATTAATATTACCGGGGTAAGGTGGCCCAAATTGGGCAAGTACTCGGGAAATAAAAGACTAGTGACACCTGTTGCAGCAGCAAGGAAGTTATTAGGGAAACATGAGAAATGTTTTCTATCCTTATTTGCACTTCAGCAATTGCAGTACAAACAACTGTTAATTGCTTTTTAAAACAGGGAAATACAAAGAAGGGGTCAAAGGCTTTATAAAGCGGTCGTGTCTAGATCTCCCATTCATTTATCGCAGAAGAACAATATCACATCATGTCACCTATTCCCTTGATCAAGATCATTCTGCTGCTCGCCTTCATGGTCGGATGCTGTTTGACCGGCTTGGTAAAAGAAGACCAGAGTAAGTACCAATCTTCTAGTCTATGCAAAAGCAGTGACGCAGCGAGTAAAATCAACATGGTCAAGAAACTCTTGCTGTTAACATGTATCACCGCTTGAAAACGTACCTTTGATGAACACTTTTGTCCTATCTCAAAGATGGTAAAGGTCGTCTCTGACCATACCTTTACACCACATCAAAGATTATGGATGGTGATGGCCGTCTTTGATTTCTGCCAAAATTCGTGACACGGGCATCAAATATTTTTGATTAAGGCTTAAAAGTTGCTCGTTACAACTGCGAGTCATTCAGAAATGGGTGATACTCCTGGATTTTCTACCCTGAAGGCTCAGATTATTCCTTCAGGGATTTCCTTCATGAACTAGCGAAGGTGTTTGAAAAATGTTCGGTTTCTGTCGTTTGAGAAAAGGTGAGATATAACTGAAGTAGACCAGTTGCGAGTTCAGAAGGACCGGAACAGTAGCGCAATTAAGCGGCCTTGAGACGCGAAAGTTGTGAGCCTATGTGTGGATAAACGTAAGACCAACCTTTCAAAGTTTTAGGAGTTTAAGTTTTCGCTGAATCCTTTTTACTTTTGTTGGTATTTATTAAAACAGAACGTTTCAAGAGCTTCAAAAAGACATCTTGAACGATGGGTGTTAATCGCTAGATTAACACCCATCTTAGATCTCTTTTTGTCGAGCGGCAAATTTGACCACCAAGTAGTTTATGGGTAGACGTGACTTTCGATGCGTGATTGTTCGGGATTGTCAAAGGTAAAGATACCCACGAGACATTTCGGTTAAACGTCTGTTCAGGAGAGTCAAACACTGGGAGACCTTTGGATCCTAAGTTGTCGAAAAGCCATTGATTTCTTTACTGAATCATTTATCACCTAAAAGATTCGTAACCGTGGAAATATTAGTCCCTAACTTTTTCGGTAGGGTCAGATTTGCTATTTTTTGGCACTCAAAAAAGTCAGCTAGCATTTTCGTGAAGCAAGTTCGTGGAATGTAAATTTCAGCCAGCAATTTCTGAAAGGAAGATCTTATTCCCCAAAATTTTCGGCCACTTAATTTTCAACTAAGAAATCCGAACAGCTCAAATTCTTCTGAACTAACGAAAACATCTCTGAAACAGTATTATACATTGTAACGAGCTTAGAGATGTCTCTCTAAAGCTTTCAGTTGAATTTGCTCTTTGGGTGCTCTCGGATTGTTATTGCAAGCTTAAAGATCATCCGAATAGAAACTCTTTACCGGAAAAATTAAAACTATGATTGTGTTCTTTGAAAGGAGACAGTCTCGTCAAACAAGACTTTAATTTCTATTGACTGCAAACTTAAGTCAAAGTTCTTTCAATCCGCCAATTGTGAATATTGATGTACATTCTTCAGCGAACGGTTAGTTTCGGTTAAATATCTGTTCGAAAGGCCTTAGTCACCTCAGAATTTCGGATTAAACTAGATTAAACTAGATTAAACTAGAAGAGAAGTTTTCTTCGGTTAAATGCTACGTTAACTTTAGCAACATGGAGAAACTTTAGTCCCTTTTGTTTTCGGAAAGCTAAATATGTTGATATTTTGTATGAAGAAAGATCAACAGGCATTTTCGGAGTGGCATAAACAGCTCGTGATTTCGGCGTATGAGTTTGAATTCCGAAAATTGTCTGCCTCTTGCATATTCATCTACGAAAACCCAACAAAGCAGGCTGCTTATGGCCCACGTAAATACTATTTACTGATGGCACTGTTAAAAAAGGTCATTGAAGGATCTGAGAACGCAAGAAATAACTCTTAAACCTTTTCATAAAATCTTCCTTGTTGGGTACCCCTGGTATTGGAGCAGGCTGGCTCATTGATGCTCAAAGCTATGGCTATTTCGGCAAACTCAAAGAATCATGTTTTGTGGATTTAAAAAACCCTGATGTAAATAAGCAAGTCAATATAAATCTGATATTTTCCATGTACGTAATTCGGCGATGGGTCATTTCAGCATTTTAAGAGTTTTCTAGTTCCCCCAACAATTTCAAATCTTGCAATCCTGTAATCATGCAATCAAATCTAGTAATCTTGCAATCATGTAATGATGCCATTCAAGGTATTTGTTGCAACTGATGCGCTGTGATTCAACACAGCTTTCCCGCCACACCAATAGACACTGAGGCAGAAAAGAGGGTAAAAAGAGTTATTCAGGTCCAGCATAATAATCATGTTTAGTGTGTTATTTTCATTGTTAATTTGGCAGGTTTTCCTTTAAAGCGACTGAAGAGAAATTTGTGGCAGTTCGGAAACATGATAAGCTGTGCGACAGGCCGCAGTAGATGGGACTACAACGGATATGGCTGTTGGTGTGGACGTGGTGGAAGCGGAACGCCAGTCGACGGAACAGACAGGTATTTAACAGAAGCGTCCATTCGTCAAGTTCCTTCTTTTTCTCTGCTCCTAGGCACACCTAGCCAGTTTTACACGAGCCGGTGTAATCGGGGTTGATTATTATTATTATCATAATCACCACCACCACCGTCATCATCATCATCATCATCATCATCATCATCATCATCATTATTAACTAGATATATGTAAAATTCAAGTTTGTATGAAAGAGTACTCATTATTATTATTATTATTATTATTATTATTATTATTATTGTAAGTCACTGAGATTGAACGAGTAAAAATTATCATTATTATTATTTAAAAAATTGTTATGATCATGACCATGACCATGACCATGACCATGACTACTTCTATTACTATTACTGTTACTGTTATTGTTAATGTTGTTGTTACTATTATTATTATTATTATTATTATTATTATTATTACTATTATTACTATTATTATTATTATTACTCGGCCACTTCAGTTAAACTTTTACACAGAAAGTTTCATATTAAGTAAAAGTACTATTGCCATGCAAAAAGAGACGACTCTACTCGCACATTGGCGGACGCTCTCACCACGGCGCCAACCCTACTCCCCAACTGATAGCTGACAAGGTTAAAAGAACGACTTCCTGAAGACAATTTTTCCGACCACAACAATTTGACGAGTTTGTTGGATCTCATGATCTGTTAGCCAGAACCAGTATAGCTCAAAATTAGATCAAACCACGATTTGCTTCAGACGTAACTGTTAAAAGCGGAACCTAATTCGAAGGCGACGGTTTGCAACCTCCATAGATAGCTTTCCCAAGGTTTTAGAACTTTTGTGTGCATGCGACTGAATCGAGAGTCTTACTATTGAAGCGATATTCCATGAGGAGACTCGGGAAGAACGTTGCGTTTGATCGTCATGTTTTCATCGTTCCGAGGAACTTCTTCTTCTTTCCTTACTGTTTGTGTTATTAGTATCCTAGATGCTGTAGGACTCATGACGAGTGCTATGATCGAGCCTTGAGAAGGGGCTGTAACCCGTATTGGGAGACGTATACCCGATCTAACTGCACTGATTGTGGTGAGGATCTTTTTAGTTGTATGGATCACCATGTGGCATGAAATTTCGCGGGATCTAAATCTCGCGATTTTCGCGGGTTTTTCTGCGATCCGCAAAAATTACATCCCATAAAAATAAATCCCCGCGAAAAAAGTCCGAGAAAATTATCTCCAATTACAAGGATTCCGCGCCAATGCTTGTCGAAGACGTGAAATAACGCTGATTAACGAACAAACCACGAAATGAGCGCTGTTTAACTTTGTCTGTTTTACCATACTGCAGCAGGATTTCACTTATTTTGTGCGGCCCAGGATGGCATACGAAGTTGCAATCGATAACTCACGACATTAGCTGATTAGGAAAACAAATAAAACATCCCATCCCCTTGTTTTTATATGCAAGTAACCAGACAGAAAATTGCCGAAGATTCGTCATAATTTTTTCTCATTCCGTAAAAGTCTGAAATCCCAAATTCGCGAAAATTTGCTGTTTGATCATGATCTAAATGATACCAGAAACTTTAATAGGCGATTAGTCCCGGTGGAACCCCACGCAGGAAGCTAGCCCGTGGGCATTTTCTGTCCATTACATTCGCTTCGAAGGTTCTCAAATTGTCTTACTTTTGAATTTTCAACACAGGGCCACAGGACGGTT